GGAAGCAAGAGTTCACCCCTTGAATTAATTAGTCAGTTTCCAGGGTGCTCCCTTTCTGCTGCAGAGCTTATTGCCCAGGAGACAAAACTGCCTCCTCACACTCTTAACTTCTGCTCACCCTTCCCAAGTCCACTGTGCTTGGGACAGTACTAAAGTGTTGGCCTTGCTTTTACCACCCTGAGTGTCTTTTTAAAAAGGTTTATTTCCAAATATTTGTTAATCACCTTGTTTTTCATATTGCTGAATTTGAAACTTTTAAAATCTACAAGTGGAACTGACATGATGCATGTGTTGGGTAACTGGGATTTTTAAAAAAAAAATTTTTATTGATTTCAGAGAGGAAGGAAGTGGGAGAGTGAGAGAGAAACATCAATGATGAGAGAGAATCATTGATTGGCTGCCTCCTGTACGCCCCACACTGGGGATCGAGTCCGCCACCCAGGCATGTGCTCTGACCCAGAACCCACAACCTCCTGGTTCATAGGTCCATGCTCAACCACTAAGCCACGCCAGCCGGGAAAGGTAACTGAGATTTTTAAAGGGCAGGTTAGCTATGTATCTCAGTGACCCCACCTGCCTCTACTTGAATCAGTCCCTGCATTCCTAGAGAGCATCCACACTGCCTCAGCTCGTCGTGAAGCACTCTGGGAATTCAGAAACCATGGTCCTTACCCACAAGGAATTTAACTGTTACTTTCAAAACAAAACTGAAGCACGTAATACACACAAAAATAGACATTAGGTTATACGATTCGCTTCACTTCACTGGAGATTGTGAATCGCTCCTCTTTTGTTTATCTGCATTATTTTTAACAGTCAGCCCAAATCACTAAGTATTAATTTCTGAAAGCCAGCTTCTTCCATGCGTGCTTAGAAAGCATTAAGACAATCATAATGAGGTGCATTTATCTTTCATTTCGTGAAGGCAGAGAGACTTTTCAGCCCAGACTGTTCATTTAAGCCGGGTGCTTTTCTTTTTCACATTGCTAAGCTTATATACCTAACTTATGTTCTGGCATCTGTTTCTAACTACAAGTATGAATAGTCTAAATTGAAATTTCCATTTCCTCAGGAAGCATACTGCTTTTATTCAGATCAGGAATAACCTCCTTGTTGCCGAATCCAGTGGTTACATTTCAGTTAAACTATCTCTCTGTTAATTTTGATGCTATCAACCACTCACTCTCATCTTCTTGATACCCTTCTCTTCTCAGTTGCTATAATGTTTATCTTTCCTTTTATTGTTTTCCTGGCTCTATAATTGCCCCTTCTCAATCCTTTTTCTTGACTCTTGCTGGTCAGGGCACATACTTGGGTTTCAGATTTGATTCCCAGTAGGGGAGTGTGTGTGTGTGGGTGTGGGAGGGCGGGGGGTGGCGATTGGGCGGCCAGTTGATATTCTCTCTCTCTCTCTCTCTCTCTCTCTCTCTCTCTCTCTCTCTCTCTCCCTCTCTCTCTCTCCCTTTCCTTTCCTTTCCTTTCCTTTCCTTTCCTTTCCTTTCCTTTCCCTAAGCATATCCTCTGGTGAGGATTAAAAAAAGAAAAAATATATATATTGGTATTCTCCAGTTTTTGTTCCCAATCCCAATGTATATCTATTAGCTTAGACCTCTTTCCTTAGCTTCTAACCTATGTTAAAAAACTTATTGGACATTTTTACAGAGGTATGGTTG